AGGAGTTTCTTATTTTTAATCTCTCAGTTTGATGCAAATATAAAATGACAGAATATGTTCCACTAATCATAGGCAAGGAACTTTGGAGACAAAAATAAATGAAATGTGTTTTCCACATTCAGGGCTCTTCAGGTCTATCTTAAGAGTAGATTACAAATGCAAATGTAAGACAATAAAATAGAATAAAAGTGACAGTTTAATATAAAAATTAAAAGTAAATAAAGAGGTAAGAGAATTGACAATGAGATGGGTGGTTTCTAATACTTTTTTAAGAAGCTGAATATTTTTTTAAAATGAATGTAAAGAAGATGCATGAGATATATTTTATGAGGACACAAGATATCCTTTCAGAAGAACTGTTTTTATTGGAATAGACAGGTGCCAAAAAGCTGAGGCTTTATGACTAATGCCCAGCATCCTAGACCTTCTTGATACACCACATAAACAGTCTGTTAAGCACTGATGTAACAGGCACACAGTATTGAAAAGAGGCTTATGGCTATGTGTCACAGTGGAATGGGAGGTTTCCTTTGAAGTGTAAATAATTTGTTCAAAAATCATGTAAACTAATTCTCCCAAAGGAAGTTCAGCAGAGAAAATTGTTGAAAACACGTAGCATAGTTGAAATAGTTCTTTGAAGGATAAATTACAATTTGAGAAGAATAAGATGAGCTTACAAATGAGAATAAAAAGACTGATACATCTCCTAACCTGTGATGTTTATACAGTAGCCACTAGTGGCATATGGCTATTTAATTTAAATTAATAAAAGTTAAACTAAATCTAAAATTTAAATCTTAGTAGCACTAGACATATTTCAAGGGCTCACTGGCCTCATGTGACAACAGGCCAGTGTATGGAAAAATACAGATAGAGTTCTTTTCTCTCTGAGCAGAAAGTAACCTTGGACAGTGCTCTTTTAGAATACAGGAACCTCAAGAAGAAAATGATCCATGTTAAACATAAAAAAAGTCAACTACTTTTTATGGCCCATTTGTGCAAAATCTCCAGTGTCATGCTAAGAGTTAAAATTTTGTCTTCTGGGTACTGATAAGTTACATACAGTTTTAAGCAGGATGGAATATTTGTAAAAATAGTGTTGATGCTTAATTAAAATAATATTGTATATATTTAAATGGTAAAAACTAGGGCAATAAATCTTGCAACTATTGAAATAGTTAAAAAAGAAACATATTGTGATGGCAAAATACTAGATATTAGGTTGGAGATTTTATGGAAGGGTTTGTGTTTTTTTTCCCCAACTCCCCAACCCACAGCCTCTTCTCTACAAAGAAGTGATATTGTTTCCATTCTTTCCACTCAATGCATTATCTTCATGAATAAACATTCATCTGTCTTTCAGAGTACATACTAAATGAAAAACTATCAGTCTACCATTTCACAAATTATAAAAAAAATTTCCCCAAAGTTATATTTGATCAAATTAGTGAAACATAAAATCCAACAAAAGGTTGGCTAAATAATTGTAAAATACTGGATCATGGAGGATGTTTTCAACAAATAGAGCAATAATTTATTATTACTTAATATTGCTGTCTTTTATTTCTAGGAATTTGATAGATTTTTTTCCCATATTTCTATGATCTTTCCTAAAACTACTGTTTAAGAGTTTAATACTTCTTATTTTAAGCCTACATTCTAGATTTTCTCATCCACATCTTTTTCATTGATATATTTTTCCTCTCTACACGATTCAAGATTTTATTGTAAATCTTTTTGAGCTTTTTCCAATTATAATAGCCTTTCCAATTTCTGACAAGTGTTATTTTCTAACTATTCTCCCTTTGTTTTCCTTCCAATGATGCATTAACTCCTCATACATTTCTGAGTCTACTAGTTACCAGAATTAATGTTCTCTTGCTTTCTAAATTATTAGAGTCAGTAAATCTAGCTGCTCATCATTATGTTTTTCACTTATATTGTTGTCTCTCAAATGTTGTTTTCTATTATTCTCCAATAGCAGGACATGTGTCAAAGTTCCACTGGTTAGATGTTACTTTCATGTGTGTGGGGAACATAACTACTCATGGTTTCCAAACTTACACACATGCTCTCTAAATGATAAATTTTAGAATGATGACATCACTCCAGGGCTTTCCAAAACCAATCTCAGGAAGAAGTCTTCATCTTCCTTGAGGTGTTATTATGATCTTACTATTGTTTCTTCAGAAGTTTTGGAGTTCTAACAATAAGAAAAAACACAGACAAGCAGTAGCAACAACAATAAAAAAGCCCAGTCATCAGCATCCTACTTCTCTGGACAGTATTGTTATCTAATTCAAAGAGTGCAGCTGTTAATACAGAAATTATCGTTTAACTAATACCACATCTTCCATGACAATTGACTTATTATTCCCATTCCTATTTTAGCCTTTGACTGAATATCTCTGACATTTTTGAGAGGAAAAAATAGTTTCCAGTTCTCACGTTTCATTTCCTCAGATTTCTTTCTTTTTTGTTTTTATTTCCTCAGATTTCTGACATGTGTTTTCTTTGGATAAACTTTATTTACTGGGCTATTTCCATCTTTGACATTCAGAAGTTCATCACAAATTGTAATATGCAAACTGAGAACTCATCTCCTGTATTTTATAATATTTGATCACTTTAATTATGATTATAGGATACTCATTTAGGATGTTCAGTTATGTTGGTTTTTTATATTACTTTAGCTGACTTGTTTTTATTTTTCCAATATTTGCAGTTTTGGAGGGCAGCCACTGTGGAGGGGTTGCAATTCAGACAAATGCAGCTCAGTATTTATTTATTCTTCCTGTTAATCATTCAGGGGTTTCCAGGTCAGAAGTCTGCATGTTGCCAATATTTTGTTTTAGTGATATTGTGTATGAGTGGGTATTTGTCTCAGTGTGTATACCGTCTATTTCTGTTCATTTTCATCATTCATTGAAGTGCAGTTTCTTTGAATTTATGATTTTTTTTCTTGAAGTGGAGAAGAGGGCCAGAAAGAAACTGGAAAACTGTCAAAGTGTCATTGCAATAGAATCATCAAGATTTTGAGCACCACACATTAGCCCATTTTAAAAATTTTATACTTGAGTATTTCTCTATTTCTGTGCTCTGTAATGTTTAATCCTTCTCATACATAACAATTTCTTCTGATAAACACAAGGTATTTTATTTATGATAGTGCTGAGTGATATATGAAATGTGCTTTCCACTAAATTACTTTAAAATTGTCAACTTGGCTGGGGATTTAATTCAATGGTTCCGCTGCCTGCCTTGCAAGCACAAGGACCTGAGTTTAATTCCTGGTAGCAAAAACAAAAACAAAAATAAAATTGTCACCTAACAAACTTCTACATTAACTACTTTTCTTTCTGACTAGCATATGAAACTTTATTTAAGTATTAAGTGACAAAGAAATGAATACCAATTGGTCATTTTTTTTACATAATTTTAGTGCTCCCCTAAAAGTTTGGAGTCTAATCAAATATCCACACAGTATAATCTTCAAAAGATTTATCCTTAACTTCTGATAATAAACTTATAATATATTTAGGCAGATGCAGTAATGAATTCATTTGTTTTTAGGGCATTGATCCTTATCTTCAACCTAGGCATTTTGATTCAGATATGATTATTATGACTTGCATGATGCTTTTACTATTTAAAAATCTTACTACATTATTATTTGCTTGATTTTGCACCTCCTGAATTTTTGATGCTTACTGACCTGGATTTTTAAAACCATTTCCATGAACTATTTAATTGTAGCGATTTTTACATTTATTTTTTTGAAATTTAGAACATACAAGCTTGATAAATGTTTACATTAAAAAGATTTGTGGTCAAGTGAAAATTTCTATAGCCTTTGCATTATATCAAATGTTAAACTAATCAAAGCATTGATTTTAATAATTGTAAGATTCATAATTTAGATGACCCTGGAAATATGCAGAAATGATGAAGGATGATAAATCACTATAAGTGCAGACTTCATGAATATTTTACTTGCAGTTTTATTCAAGGATTTTTTTTAGTAGCTTTTTGAATGAAGCTCAAGTCTTTGTTGTTATTATTAGTTGTGTTTTATTCTTGTCACACATCAGCAATACAAATAATAGTAACAGCAACAAGAAGTAGTATCTACTGGCAACAGAATAATTTGTTTCAAATATTTTTCTTGTTGTTTCATTGTGCATCATCTCATTTCTTCATCAAATACATCAGTCTTCTTGGTACTGTGACAGCGGTGCAACAGAATCTTAGTTGCAAAAGAGCAGTCAAATTTTCGGCTCAAGTTTCGAGAACTACACTATTCAAGGCTAGATTCAGACTACGTTTCTCTGACTGTAAAGTGTTTGCCTTCAAGTTCTTTTTTCTCATACTGAAGCTAATTTTACTAATGTTCTTTGTTCTATTGACCTTGTCTTACACTTAATACTTTCAAAGATTATTTTTATCGTTTAAATATTATTCAGGACCTCAACACATTAGCAATTTGATATGTGTCTCAAATAACTCTAATAATAACAGTAATATTACCAGGCAAGAAAGAAAACTGATCATCTCCCCTTAAGTTGTGAGATTTACCCTTCACCGCTGTCCTGCAAAATTAGGTGCTAATATAATTGCAGCTATGAGGATAGCTACTTTGGTAGAATGAGTAGAATTTTGAACATCAGTTCTTCCCCAAACTGTTTTTTTAACTCCTGAACTCTCCAACATATATGTTAATTTGCACTTATTTTCTATTACAAACTCATATTTTTGCTGTTATTCAAAGTTTCTTAAAAGTTTTGTATTATCATTGTCTTCATTGTTATTTATTCTCATGATCACTAAAATAAAAACTTATAATAGCAAATAATTTTATTCATAGTGCTGTAAATATTCTAGTGTGAAATATCATAGAAACATATGTTTTTCTTCTTTTAGAAAGAGATTCATAGTTGACAATATTTTAGTGCACTGAGTTTCTAAAGATATAAAATATGTTTTATTTTCTGGAATGTTTTCTACACGGTCTTTGGGATATAAGGAAAGTTTTGTGTTGCTAAGTATGAGCTTGCATTGATGGCGAAATAGTAATCTTCCTTTATTTTGCTCTTTGCTTAAGAAACTCACTTGTTATTTCACTCAGGTGTCCCCTGGTGTCCATGCTAGCTCCACTCTGATTCCAATGAACAGCATTGCTCTGCCGCAAGGAGAGGATGACTATGGCTATCAGTGCTTGGAGGGCAAAGATTGTGCCAGCTTCTTCTGCTGCTTTGAAGACTGCAGAGCAGGATCCTGGAGGGAAGGAAGGATACACATACGCATTGCCAAAATTGACTCCTATTCTCGAATATTTTTCCCAACTGCTTTTGCCCTGTTCAATCTGGTTTATTGGGTTGGCTACCTTTACTTATAAATTTCATGACTAGACCAAAATTATAATTCCAAGCTAATCCAATTTAAGCAGTTGTACTTCAGTAACAAGAAGTTAAAACTTAAAGTTCAAAGAAAGCAGTGTTTCAAATACAAACAGCATTGTGACTATTTTTAGGTTTCTTTAGGTAAATAAAATATCAGCTTTGAGATTCATTTACCTAAATTTACATGAAACTTATGACTTGTTAAATCCAATATAAATACTATTATATGTTTTATTTTCTTTATGTTACTTACATTCTATTATAATTTGAAACTTACAAATTCTGTGATATATAACTTGAAGATGAAATAATTTAGCAAGTTTTATTTAAATATACTTATCTGTGTAATGGGAGGCTGATGCCTAAGATTTATCTATTTTGAATTTTTTTATTATTTTCCTCATTGAGTTTATTGGTACATAAAGATTTTACTTTGATTTGTTTCTTGATTTTTATTTGTCTGCCCTGTTTACTATAAATCTTGTTAAAAAAAGAAAGCCATCAACTTCTTGCATTTTTTCCATGATGTTTTACTCCTGAGAAGAAAATAATTTATTTTTATTTTTACTATGAATTGATAATTTATAATTGTATAAATTTATGGGGTTAAAAAGTGATGTCATGATTTATGAATACATTGTGGCATAATGGAAGGAAGCTAGTTGGTAAAAGCACATACCTTATGAAATGACTAATATTTGTCATTTTATACAGTCTGTTTCCTTATGCAATATGAAACAAAAGTCCAGCAGCATTTAGTTTGAGAATCTGCAAACTTAAATAGAAACTACTTCAGCAGGTTTTGAAATACAACTTGAAAAATGATTCAAAAATTATGTTTCTCAATTTCATTTTCTTCCTTTTTGTGTTTATGAAGTATAGATGTTTAAATGTATCAACACTAAAATTAAATACAAAAGCAAATGATAATATTTTTCATGCGCTGCAGAGGCGCGACAGTCTCTAGGTTAATACAATCATTAGGGGAGAGTACTAGTATTTACTCTTGGTGGTGGAGAAAGATTTGGCAAGTTGGGTTGCAAGTCACGTTGAGAATATAGCCTTACATATGCATTTATTAGATCAGACTTACTTGCAAACAGTTTATGCCTATGTCATACATTTGTCTCTTCTACCTCTTGAGTTCAGAGCTCATTCTACAATATTATAAATCATTATTAGATTATCTTCTCTAGGGAAGCCACAGAATCATATTAAGGTGACTTTCGTTACAGACATCTTTAAGGAACATGAATGGAGGAGCCACCAGACAGCAGAGAAGTCCAAATGGAGTCTCTGTGGGCAAAGCTGGTGGGTGAATAGCTGCCGCATGTTTCTGGTGAAGAGGAGAGTTAAAATTAGGTTTCAGTCATATGGCCCTGTAAATATTTTTGCATGTATCAGTCCTTTATAACACTCCGAACTCATCCTCCATCATTTATTTTTCTGGAGAGTCACCAGGGTCAGGTTGGACATGAACTTTAAAAATTATTTCCACTGCCAAGAATGATTATTCAGATGAAGAGAATTATGTTCCAGGACTAATTTAGTATTTGAAAAGGATGCTATCACCTATGTGCTTGATGCTCTAGTTTATAGTGTGATAATTCCTCCACATGGGCAGTAAATGCCTGAGTTGTGCTTATGTTTTTGGAATATATAATTCTTTATTAGTTTAATCTAAATATATTTCAAGGTGTATTCCTTTGAAATATATTTAGATTAAAATAAAAAAAACTTCAGGCAAAAAATAGTAGATATTGAACATTAAGGACTAGTACTCATGAAAACTGCTCTATTTTTTTGGAATGGTGAATCAAATTAAAGTTTGGACATATATATATTAATTTTCACAATACTTGTGCATTCTTGTTTATAGTGATGAGTATTGGTGGATATTTTAAAGATTAACACTCATTTGGAAGTAAATAAAAAGTAAAAGATTCATAAACAAACTACTTCACTAAATTATTTTATGGCCAGTTCCATGTTTTAAACTGTAGTCTGTTCATTATTATGGAGTATAGATTTGGGAGCTCTTTCAACTTTATTTGAGCATGATTACATTTTAAAGCACTTTAATATGCTTGTTATAAATAGCCTTGATTTTTCTCATTGGTGTCTTATTAACTTGATTTTAAATGTTGACAATATTTATATGTGAAAATGCAATTGATAAAAATATAGAAGATACTTTTATATGTATTTATTTCTTGTGTATAACATCAAAACAATCACTTAGTTTTCAAAGCCAGGGGTATTTTGGGCAGCTTTATCTAAATTTATGGATCAGAAAGAGATGCATACAAATCTTATTGTATCTAAAAATAAACATTAAAAAGTAGAGATGCATTCACATTTTTAAAATCAAGAAATCAAAGGGCTTATTCTCATATGAGATGTATTCTAATTCTTGTTATTTTTTCAAGTATTAGTTTTTCCATGTTGGCAAAGTTTTTTTATTTTTTTAAATTTTTTTTTATCTTCCTCTTTTGCCAGGGAAGTGATGTCTTATTTTATTGGTTTTACTGGAACTTTTGCTGGATGCAAAAACAAACAAACAAACAAACCTCTAACATAGATCAAAAAATAAATATAAATAATGAAAAGGGTAAGAGAAACAGAGGGATTGGAAATAATGTTAAATCACATAGATCCATTCATGGATTATGTGATGAGGACATAAAGGTACTGAGATGGAGAATGTGACTGACATAACTTTGTTTTGATTTACAGTGTTAATAAGAGTAATCGTTTTTATACTCTGGAATTACACAAACAAAATTGTAATCACTTGACATCAATTCCTAAAGTGTGAAATAGTTTTAAAAATAAAAAGTACTCAAATTATCTGAGCATTCAGTAAAGGAAGAGAAAAATTCCCCCAGGAAAGCCAATTAAATATAAAGATTTGATGTTAGGTTAAGAATTATAAAGTCCATTGAATATATTTCATTTTGAGTTAGATTTTATTAAGTTGCAATTCCTGATAAAACTTTACTTTAAGCACACTTTTGGTAGATATGAAAGTAGTCATCAGGGTTTTTTACCGTTATTGTGTTCCCACACTCTGATACCTACAGAAACTAATCATACACAGACTGTATTTTTTTTCTTAAGAACAAGGATAAAATGGAGAGCTGCATTCTTTCCAATGATTCAGCATCAGAAAGAATATCAGGTAGGACTCTTACTCATAACTGTATATATGAAATTCTAGTTCATTTCAGTAGATTGTGATTAAATAATTCTATACTCATTACCTAAGAACAGAGCCTAGATGGAATGATTGGTATGAGTAAAGTTGAAACTAACAATCAGTATTTGAATAATCACATAATAAATGAAGAAATGCATACATAAAACTATCAACTATCTATATCAATGCTCTGCCCACTCTTGGAAAATTTGCTGTAGCAAGGAACCACGTTCATGATTACTTTATTAGTCTTATCACTAGGGTTAAAGTGACATAATAACAACAAATTTATCCATTTCTTCACTGTTATGTTATATGAAGGCTAGACATAGTATTATGTTGACCATCTTTTCTTTTTTAAGGCTAGAGAGTGGCCTTTGACATGCCTCTGTAAAGTCACACAAGAAATTACCAAATATTTATTAAGCACATTCCAATTGGAGTTTCAAACACTATTGACACTTGCTCCAGAAAATTTAAGGTTCTCTCAGCCTATGTTTGCAGTTTACAAATAAGATAGTTCAACTAAAATGAAGAACATTCTCTGGGCACAAAGTGTTCCAGATAGAATAGGAAGTGGAAAGATGAACTCCTAAGGAACAGATAGAGAAGACGATTAGTTGTACAATTTAAGAACAATCTGGGGAGATTCTCAGGAGGATGTGTGCTTAACAATGTGACTTTGAGGATTCAAGATGCCTGTAGATGACAGAAATAGAGATAACAATTTTTTGTTGGAGAAAGAAACTTGAATAAAGAAGCAGATGTATGGACAAAAATGAAAATTCCATTTTAATTGGACATAATGATTCATATCAAGATCATCAAAACAGAATCCGGAAAGAAAGACCTAGACTTACAATAGAGAGATGAAAATACAGACTTCAGGTGGCCAGATGACTTTATAAAATCAGGAAGAGTAAATAGAGATAGTTAAGTACAGAAAGAAGTCATTAAACCTTTAAAAGTTTCATCTTATTAGTGTGCAATATTGAGTGTAAGAAGCTTAAAGCAACTTTGGCGATGCAGGAAGTGAGTAGGAATGGAAATGAAAGAAGTTTTCAGTGGAAGGGGAGATAAACTGGAACAAGAAAATGAATTGGCAGATATTAAAATTTGATTAGCAAATGGTATTGACCAAGATACAAGGTGTGCACCCGGAGCTTTGTATTGAACAATACTTGCCTTTGTGTGAATAAACATTCAAACCTTAGAAAGAAATTCTGGATGTATTATAGTCTTGCTTGCTGTTGTATTCAAATCAAATGCTCACCTTTTAATAATGACCTATGTACTTGGAATGATAAAAAACAACAATATCTCAAAGTATATATTAAACGTGGTTTGTCTGGTTTATTATTTTCATAAAATCTGCTACTTATCAAAAGGGCTTTTTCTTCAAATAGTCTCTTTTAACTTTCTATCTTAGAAAATACATATATATCAAAAGGGAGGGAAAAAAGAGAACTGTGAAAATAAAGAGATTTTGTGGGACCAAAAGAATACAGGAAGTTGATAAGATTTTCAATTTTTAATTTCTGAAATTCTGTCTTAATAAATAAATTTTTATTGCTGATCAATGAAATGTACCTGGACCCTTTGATTTTGTGAATTTCTATGACTGTGATAACTGAAATATCATTAAGCAGAAATGGGTTGTGAACAAACTTTTTGGACATGATTTACTTAACTAGAAAAATTTGAGGTCTGAATAAATCACTAGAATAGTCATTATTTGTATCAACTGTGTCTAGTCATTTTATTTAGTAAAGCTTTATGGCTTGTAATGAAAATGTGTTTGCTTAGTTTCTGCTTTATCTTTTTAAGAAGCATTTGTGTGTGGCAAAGATATTTTAATTTTTCAAAGTGTTCTGTACATTCATGATCCTACATATAAAATAAAGCTTGTAACTTGTTGTGGAATAAAGTTTCATGTTAAATTCTCTTAAAATGTGTCCTTTTTGATAATTTTCAAGTAGGTATCTCCCTCTATGTTGTAATATGAGATCATGACTTTAGCATTAAAGTTAATTTCTGACCAGTATTTCCCATTATTCAAATTATGAAATGTATTTAAAGATTTCTTCTTGGTA